CGGGTGTTGAAGTTCTTGTCTCTGTGAGGAAAGCACCGGGGGTGGCCCCTCTTTGAGGTGTTGCAGGAAGTGGAACCGAGATGCCGACTTCTCCAGCCGAGCGTTTAGCACGTGGGCGTGCTCTGTCAGGTGTCCTCTCTGCATGGAAGAGTTCTGGTTCCTTCACGTGGGGTGATACCACTTCAGCAAGCGAGTTGGAGGTCGTGCCTCAGCAGTGGGGCACTGGGAAAGGAGGAACGTCTTCAGGATGAGGAGACATTTATGCAGCTTCCCCACTTCGCCCGTGAGCCCCCAGGCGCTGACGTGCTTGTGAGCAGCTGTTGCACGGCAAGTGCAGCTGAGGGCTCTTTGGACCCGAAAGGGTCCCTGCCAGGCTGAGGCTGAGTTGCTTCCCCCATCGTGACCACATACCTGGGGCCCAGCTCTTCCATGTCCTGGAGATGTTGCAGTCCCCGTGTCTTGACACTGGGAGCATCTCCAGTGTGTAAGGTGGCAGCTGCCTCTTTAGTATCACAGTTTTTGGATAGAACTGGGATTTAGATAACTGAATTGGAAGGGTGAAGGTTTGATCTAGACAGTCCAGCCTCTGCTGCTGCCCTTCACGTGGTGAACAAGACAAAGTCTGCAAGGCAAAAGGCTGGAAGGGCTTTAAGGTGCTGAGGGCCCAGCTGCCCTTGCACAAACCATGTGTTTCTTTTCATCAGCATGAAGTGGGTGGTCGCTTGGAAAGTCCCTTCCTGGAGCATAAGTGGTTTTCTAGAGAGGCAAACAAGGAGAATCATGCTCTCAGGCTTCAGGGTTTTAAGATTTAAGCTGCTCTAAATAATTTGTCACTGATCCTTGAGACTGGTGAAGAACCGAAGTCTTCAAAGGGTTGTCTAGGACCAAACTTTCACTTACAAAACGTGTCTGTTGATGTTCAGGAAATGCAATAGGGAACCTTTTCCTCAGCTTTTCACTGCCTGGAAGTTTGAAGTCCTCTGTGTTTAGCTAGCTAGGAAAAAAATCCCATTTCTATCCTGATAAAATTTCAGTGTTATCAGGGAATAGCTACTGCTGGTAATCCAAGCCATATAAAGCGTTGCTATGAGTATAGGTATTGTGTAAATGCCTGTAATAAATAATGGAATAAATGAACTTTACCCCTGGCACTTGTACGTTACAGCACTGTCCTGTGATTGTGGGTTATCTTGGCCATGCTGTAGAGCAAAGGCTGCTCAGAGAGTTGAGAAGAGGAACAGAACTTTTGTGGGCTCAGCCCGATCTTGTGACACGCCTCTTCACTTTCTGTGGCGTTCAGAAGACACTTGGAAGGAAGAGCTTTTGCAACAGCAGCCTGTTGAGCTTCCTGAAACACCTGTGTCTCCCTTCAAAACAAATACAGCCTGTTCTCTGTTAAGCAAGTTTTCCCCCAAAACTGTAAAGACAAGCTGCAACTTCCCACTTGGAGGGCTGCCTTTTCTAGGGATTGGTAAAGGAGTTCCCTTGCTTTGGCACCGAGTTTAACAGAGGAAAGAGACAGATCAAGATACCTCAGGCCCTGTTCCTGTCTCATCCGAGTGTCAAGTTTTGTTTCATGCTGGTGTTTTTCCCTTCTTTCCTTCCTGCTCTGCGTGCGCCAGGTACACCCAGTGCTGCTCTGTCCCACCTTTGAGCTTGGCGTGGAGTTGCAGAGAAGTTTAATCATTTCCAGAGACCAAGATTGCAGCAGTTTTCAGAGATTATAGCCAGGTGGGGAGGGATGTGAGGTAGGAGCTGTGTCTGTTCCTGTACTGGAGCAGTCTGAAAGCACCAGCAGTCATGACCGTGTTGGCTCTGGCAGGTTAAATGTGCCCAGGGCTGTTTGCTGGCACCGAGGCCAGCTGGCAGGGGGTGACACA